TTACCTCATCAAAAACATACTGGAGTTGTGCTTTGTTTCATTCACATGTTTTAGTAACGCGTTATTATTAGTCTGTCTACATCAACAAAGCTCAAAACACTCTGTTCCAACTTGTGATGTCATGACGTGGTAGTTTTCAAGTTAATAGCTTTACCTTTTACTTTTGGTTCAGTAGAGTAGACATTACATACATCACGACCAAATAGCAGCGATTAGTTAAATAAAAAACCCGCCTACTGTCGAGCGAATGAATCCTAATGCTGCGAGGTCAGACGGTTTCTATGAAGTGGAACTGGCTGATAAATCAGGCTACAGTTAGATACTTGTTAAATATTTGCACAATTATTATCCATTTATTAGTGGACAAAGATAGGCATCAAAATTATACATTTCATTACCGTATTTTCTGCACTATTGGGCACACTCATAAGCCTTCAACCCCATCAAAAAACGACTGCGCGCCCGCCCTGCAATCCAGAGCACCCTATCTACGAATCCACTCGGGTGTCCCAGCACGACTTCAGTAAACTACAAAGCCCCAAACACACACGGAGCAGACAGCGACCGCACAGCGAAACACACCCACAGACACACTCATCACTCCACGAAGACGAGGAACGGAACGGAGGAACAAACTGAAAAAGCGAGTGCAATGTGCTGTTTCTAGACACAACTGAACACCTGAGTCACTGCGAACACGCCGACAATCCAGCGGTCCCAGACAGCCCCCTCCCTACACGCCACAACTGAACCAGAGTCACCGTGAACGCCACAAACAAAGTCCCACTGACCCATCCAACTGTTGTGTTTCCTTTAAAGTCCAGTGCGGTTTATTTGTGAAAAAAGTTAGAAAATAGACCATTCTATGCACCTTATAATCCAGAGCGCCTAATAGTGTGGAAAATACGGTAAATCAAATTTTACTTATTCAGAACAATACACATGATCTGGAAATCCCCAGGCGAGCTACTTGGAAGGGGGTGGAGAGCTCTTAATCTAAATGATTTTAGTGAAGATGTATGGCTTTTAAAAACCACAGTGGAGCACTTCCTGTATTATCCTATCACCACATCAAAGAAGAAAGGACAGAGTTTGAGAGAAGATCTCAGCCTAAATATGCAGGATTTGTGTGTTAAACATGTGTGAATGAAACAAAACACAACTCCGGGTATGTTTGTGATGAGGAAATATTAAAACAGATCAGAAAACGGCGTAATATAGACCCTTTAAGATTAGGTCTGTGTCAAAGAAATTAACTGAAGTCAATGCAATGTCCTCAAAAGCTTGGAAACCAAAAGCGTGCGTGTGCATATTTGTGTGTATAAGGGTCACATTTTTCCAGCGCTGGGACATTTCTCGACTCCGATCTGAACTAAAGGACTTTTATTATACGTCCGGTCTCTGGACACTGACCCTCTCTCTTCTTCTCCTCCTCCATTTCCTGTTCTTCTTCATGGTGACTGCTTTGAACCCCATCACCCCATTTATTTTCACACACAAGACGTGCTTTAAGTCTGTTACCATTCCAAGCAGTGTTTCCACGATTTATTGCAGATTTAAATCACAGAAATTATTCTAAATGTGCAATATTGTCAAAAAAACACAAGCTGCAATAAATAAAATAGCAGAATGAAACTTAAATCTTATCATATTACCACAAATTTCCTAGTAGCGGAAAGAAAATATCACAAAAATTATAAATTATTGTTCAAACTTTCATATATTGTCAATTAGGGACATAACAATTGAAATATCATTATATCATACCGTCAAAGGTCTCACAATAAATCGAATTACAAGTCTCTGTGCTTAAATTAAGAGTTATTGTGCAGCAATAGCTAAAAACAGAGGGAACTACATAGACCATGATCCTTTGCTCCATTTCAGTGTAGACTACGAGAACAAATAACAGTTCTAAGCAAGTTGAAATCTTAGTTCTTTCGGTTCTTGTCAAGGTATTTTAAGAGGAAAATAAAATATCGCAATAAATATCGTACTGTGACATGTACATTGTGAAAACATCGTACAGAGAGATTTGGATATCGTTACATCCTTATTGTCGATATTAAGGATGGGCATTCGATAAAATTTTCTTAATCAATCGTCGGAAGAATTAACGATCGATTATCGATTAATCATTAACGTTTTTATATTAAAATGATCATCGTTATTATTACTATCTGCACTACTAATCTGCATAAATAAATTCAACTTTACGACATATAAACCGTAACGACTCTAGAGCCACATCAGCCCGTTTGACATTATAATGTGTTTAATTCAGTTTTGCGCAACTCTCACAGAAACAAAACTTAAAACCGCAGCGCTAATTTGCATAAACTCAGCGAAAATAAAACTACAGCTCTTGTGCGCTGATGCGGTCAATTTCTGTCGGATTAAAAGACATGAATACAGGTTAGTGTGACCATATCTGCGTTTGTCAAAACCAGGACACCGTACGGGAGGTGGGTGGTGGGGACTCGTCATCGACATTGCGCGACTCTCACCTGGTAAATTTTTTTTCCACTGGACACCGAAACATATGTGCTGCTTTGTTCACTGTGCACATGGCCTCACACTTGTCCCGAACGCAACGGAAAGCGTGGAATTTCTTGTACAAATCATCGTTAAATACACATTTGTGCTTCGGTACGCTGCAGACTGACCGACTGTTTGTGTTTGCTCGCTCCTTCTGAGTGCAGACAGCTACATGTACGGACCCCTGTTTGGTCACGCTACGCACAGCAACCTACATTCGGTTTGTCGATTAAAATGAACGTAATCGATGAAATTCTTAATGATCAATTATCGATTAATCATGCCCATCCCTAGTCGATATTGTAATTACCATGATAGGCCTATTGTGATTTTGATTTGATGTTTATGTTAAATCTCTATTGTTAATGTTTTTTTTGTTTTGTTTTTAATATAAGAAGATTCAGTTCACTTCTGTAAATAATTTTGTGAAAAAAAAAGGTATATATTTACTCTTTCATATAATACGTTGTTATCGCTATGGCAACAACTTATTATATCAAAGAGTATACATATAATTATTTTTTTTCTCATCATTGAAATCGTTATTGTTGTGTATTTCATGAGTTTCATAATGCATACTCTAGTACATTTCAGGCAAAATTCATTGCAAAAAAACATAAAAGTGGTGCATCTTCCACCAAAAAAGTTACATAGTGCACCTTTAATTATGGCAATTTTACCTAACACCCATCTCCATTAATGTGCAGATTTTGTTACTATAAAGGTCACATCACTGATATAAATGATGTTGTGGGAAATATTAGCTCACTAGTGAATGAGACGGCTCTTTTGAATGGTTCTTTAAAGTGAACTGTGGGAACCGGATCAAATTTTTTAGCAGAACCAAATGTTTTTCTTTCAAATCTTTATGCATTTTTATACTGATTAAAGCTGAACCAAGGGAAGAATGAAGAAAGAAAAACAATAGACAACATGAGTGAGAGATCTGTGCACAAAAAAAACATATTTGGCACCTTCATAACAGTTAAATTATTAATATTGTAATGCAACATTTTATTTAGCAGCATTTCAAAAGGTAAACACACCCCCATGCTCAGTTTGAATCATTTCAGACAGATCAGAGTCTTGGTCTTTATCGCTGTGATTAATATGTAGTTAAATAAGTTCTCACACTGACTTCTGTTATATAATTAAATATAAAAAGAGCCAGTCTTTTGAATGGCTCTTTGAAGCGAACCGATCCAAAAGATTCGGATCCCACAAAAGAGCCGAAAGTGCGATCAATAGAATTTACCATTTTTAAAAATATTTCTTAGGGAAGTAGTATTATGTAAGTCAATCTGGTAAATGCCTCTTATGACAATACATTCTCAAAGGTGCACCACATAACTTTTCAGGTTAGATGTCCGCTACCATGGAGATGCTATTGCTTTGATTGTAATATTCCACAATATGGTTTTAAACTTAGGCTATGTTCAGACTGCAGCCTGAAGTGAACCAAATCTGATTTTTTGGCCCCTATGTGACCTGTATCTGATCTTTTAATGACAGTCTGAATGACACAGATCTGATTTTTTCAAATGTGACCCAGAACGCTTCAATATGTGCTCCTAAAACCGATACATATCCGATCTTTTGACATGCGACTTCAGTCTGAACGGCCAAAGTGCATTCATTCGACCTACACGTTATCAACAAGACACAAATGTCACTATTCTGCACTTAAGTTGGCGAAAATTGTTAATGAACTCCGTGTCACTGAAGCGAAGCACATCACCACTCACCACTCTTGACTACATCTCCACATCCACACGTCCCTTTCTACGGACGTTGCTGCCGCTGTCCCACAAAACGCCAAGGCCATAAACCTTGTCCTTCTCCTTCTCAATCTCCTCCTTACAACAAGTAAGTTGTTCATGTTCTGGCTCCGGTACGAGAGGAACTTTAAAATCTCCAGGTGTTCAATGCTCGCGTCCATGTTTGGACAACTTACGTAAAAACACAGAACACACTCGCTGCGTTTGATGTCATCGTGTATTCCAGTGCACATGCGGGACACTTTTGGATGGTTTTATGTTCACACTGGAGATCACATACAAGTCGCATTTAATTGGAAATGTGAACGACCTCACAAAAACATCGGACTTCACAAAAAAATCCAAATTGAGCGTTAAGCCCTGCAGTCTGAACGTAGCCTTAGATGCATTTTTTTTCAATTATCAGTGTTTTTATTGCTCAAAAATACCTTTAAAAACATGCATTCTGACTGTGAGTGGGGTCGCCTCATCACAGATATTACCTGTAAATTAGCCTGGTAGTGGCGTCTCCTGCTTGTCTCTATGGAGAGTGAAACATTTAATGCCATACTCTGGAACATTGGAGGTAAAGCAGTAAGATCTCCATGGAGACAAGTGACTGGCGGGCTCTCTACCAGAAAGGTTTTACAGTGCATCTTCAAAAGCACTGATAATAACTGCTGATTCTTGCTTTGTTTGTTTCAGGAGTTTCACAATGCGGAGGGCGAGGAGTACAGAGGTGACCTGTGCATGGCGTCGCCGTCCCAGGGCAGCCCCGACGTCTACATCCTGCCCCTCACCGAAGTGTCGCTGCCCGTCGCTAAGCAACCGGCTCGATCAGGTGGGACCTCTAGAGTTACTGTAAACGAGCTTTTGAAAGGTTCAGATCATTCTATACAACTCTGGATCTTATGTTGATGTTTGGGTTTCAGTTTCCTGTTTACACGCGCCATTTTAAGGACTTTTCACCATTCAGAAGATAGTCAAGGATAGTTTAGTTTTTAACTTTAAACGCCATGAACAGTTCTCCAAAAGGTTTCTCAGCTCATTAGATAAATTATGTTTTTATTGAATTAAAAACAAAAATCAGAAGATATTATTCTACAGTTTTTATGCATCTGTATACTTTTACGAGTATGTACATGATACCACACGTGCAAAATGCAGTCTTTACACAGCTAAAAAGTATATCCTACCACTACTACAAATACTACTACTAGTACTACTACTGCTACTACATGTCATCCCTACTGCTTTTACTTGTACTATATATAGTACACATTTGGGATGGGCATTCGATTAAATTTTCTTAATCGATCGTCAGGAGAATTAACAATCGATTGTCGATTAATCATTAATGTTTTTATATTAAAATGATCATCATTATTATTACTACTAATCTGCATAAATAAATTCAACTTTACGACATATAAACCGTAACCGCTCTAAAGCCACATCAGCCTGTTTGACATTATAATGTGTTTAATGCAGCATGACAAATTTGCATAAACTAAGTGAAGAAAAAAAACAGCTCTTAAGTCGCTGATGCGGCACAACTCAGTGGAACACAGGTTAGTGTGACCATATTTGCGTTTGTTAAAACCAGGACACCGTACGGGGGGTGGGAGACCTCCCACGTGTCTCGACCAGGACGGAAAGTGGGGAATTTCTTGTACAAGTCATCGTTAAATACGCATTTGTGCTTCGGCACGTTGCAGACTGACGGACTGTCTGTGTCTGCTCGCTCCTTCTGAGTGCAGAGAGCTACATGTCTGGACCCCCATTTGCCCCTGGACACGGACGTTTGGTCACCCTACGCTACGCACAGCAACCTACATTCGGTTTGTCGATGAAAATGAACGTAATCGATGAAATTCTTAATGATCAATTATCGATTAATCGACTAATCATGCCCATCCCTAGTACACACTACACTACTATAGGACTACTTATTATAAAAGATGCATTATGTAACTTTTCGGTAGGGGTCTGTCACTTTCTTGTTTCTATGGAAATGTCATTGCGCTTCGAGGAATGTTCAACAGTGAGACATTAAACAGATCTACCTTACATTTATTCAATTTATTGCTCAAAAATACCTGGAAAAACAAAGTGAGCGAAACTGAGTGTGAGCGAGGTTGCTTCTCCAAAGATGTGACCTGTAACTTGGCCAGCTTTGGTCTCCATGAAGATAGAAAGGTTTAATGCCATACTGCGAAACATTCCAGACAAAGTAATAACGTCTAAATGGAGAGAAAAACATTTGACTGACCCTCCACCAGAAAAGTTACACACTGCACCTTTAAACTTAAACTATTGCTTATATTTTGCCTACTACTACCACTTTAACATTTCTACTACATCCAAAAATATGACCAAAAACCAAAAGTACAAGTCTCGCAGTATTAAAATATTTGGGATTTTTCCACATTTTGAAGTAGTCCTAGAGTATTTCATCAGATATGTACTTGCTGCCTCCCTTCACATTACCATAGCCTGTATTTAGGGCGTGATCACGAGTCCAGTATGGTGACTCAATAGGGCTCCCTTGGGTGCTCTCCTCCCTGTTGCTGGACTGTGGTTGGCCCGGCTCCTCCGAAATATCCCACAATGCCTCAGTGCAGCTCGCCCCGTGAACTGCTCTCTCCCACAAACATCTGGCTCTTGTGTAACGAGGTCCAGGCTCCAGGAATGTAAGAAATGTGAGAGCAAGCGGACATCTGTGCCTCTGCAGTCACTCAGCTCCGGACTGTAAAGAATCATCAAGATCAACCTCAAGAATCAGTTTGAATTTAATAGTTAAAGGGTCCATGTTACATTATTTTCTGATCTATGTTATAATGTTGTTTCGTTTCCTTATCACAAAACAGACCTGGAGTTGTGTTTTGTTTCATTCACACATGTTTAACACAAACCCTGCATATTTAGGTTAGTTTCATTCTTTCGATCAAACAGAAAACACTCAACACTTGTGATGTCATGTGGTAATACAGGAAGTGCTCCACTGTGTTTTTAAATGCCATACACCTTCACTAGAATCATTTGGATAAGGTCAGATCTGGAATTGCCAATCTCTACTGAAGTAAAGGTAAAACGTAGCTGATAACTTGAAAATTACGGCTTCATGACATCAGAAGGTAGAACAGAGCATTTTGACATTACCATACTACAAGGATTACCATATTTTTTGGACTATAAGTGGCTCCGGACCATAAGTCGCACCAGCCAAAAAAAGCGTAATGAAGAAGAAAAAAAAATATATAAGTCGCACTTTTTGGAGGAAATGTATTTCATAAAATCAGAGACCAGGAACCACCATTTCATCTTGAAAAACAAGTTATCGTAATAACAATAGAGAAGAACAGACTGAATAAATGTTAATATGTTAATGTAACATATTGACATTTATTCACATAACTAGAGCATAAACAACATAAGTTTACCAAACTCTCCATCTCACTCCAAATCTCTAAATCCATTGAATTCTTCATCCTCTGTGTCACTTCTGAGCAACTCCGCGACCTCTGGATGTAAATAGAGTGCTGCTTCCGCTTCTGCGTAGCTGTTGTCAGACTCAGCATCAGTTCCAGAATTATTCCAGCCTTTCTGAATGCCGACAGGATGGTTTTGGTTGTCTCTGAAGTCCAGGCTTTGTCGATTCATCCAATGACTTCCAGGAAAGTTGCATGGCACACCCGAAGCTGTGTTCTCCATCCCCGCCTTACAGAACTCAGACATGTGTGAATGAAACAAAACATAACTCCATCTATGTTTTTGATGAGGTAACAGAATTATAACATGGCTTAAAGCTCACAAGAGTCAATTTTCTATATATAGGACCTTTAAAAATAGGGTGTAACAAATTTTGAAATGCGATATATGGCTTCAAGAGCTTACGTAAAATTGAAATGTACTCATCAAAAACATGCCTGAAGTAATCTAGCGATCTTTTCCAAGGCCCTATCCGAACCCTCTTTCCGGTTAGCTGTAAGATTCTGTCTAAGGCTCCGCCCACAAGCCTACATCACTCACGCTCCCACACGACAATTCTCCAAAAATACACAAAAACATGATACAAAACAATACACTACAACTTCATAAAGCTGATGCTGTGTGCAGTGGTTTAATTGTGATAGTGCTCTCGCTTAGTGCAGGGAGAAAAGCGAGGGGGGACTCGAAAAGTCAAACTTATAAAACATGTTCATACATTGTTGTGGGCGAATAGCATTTTCAAAACAATAATAGTTAACATGGTGATCTAAATAAGTCATGTGTTAGCAATTAATACCCCACAGAAGTAAAATAATACCACATCTTTATGAAAATATAAGCTAGACGGTTCTGTTGAAACTAAATTATGACCCAGGGGTGGAAAATAACTAATCACAAATGCTTGCTGTAATTAGTTTGATCGATGAAGTTGTGTATAAAAGTTAACATTTGTATAAACACCTAATAATGAACAAGCTACAAATTCTTTCATTTTTCATACTAATTTGATTCATGTTTGAACTTGTTTTAGTTCTTTTTGTCATATATATTTTATTACATTTTAGGTTTTTTTCCTATATTGGAGTCTTACGGCCACACAATAATGCCACAATAAAGCCCCTCCTCCCCATTCCCAAACCCCGATTCACCCTCCCCACACCCACCCGTAACAGACGCTGAAAGAAAAGAAAAAAAATTAATTAATAAAAAAAAGAGAAAAATCTATAATAATAATAATAATAATAATAATAAACTTTTTTTTTTTTAATAATTGTTGAGCTTGTTTTAGTTCTAATGGTTTGGTTGCATCATAGTCCTTGATTAGTCCTGGTCTAGTCCAGGTTTTAGTCCCAATTCAATGTAAATTTGAAGATTGCAGAACCCTTTATTAAACAATTACATTTTTTTTTTTTTTTAAATCTTAATATATTTACTTTTTTTTTTTAAAGGGCCCACAGCTGGAGTTGTGTTTTGTTTCCTTCGCCTGTTTAACGCACAAATCCTGCATATTTAGACCGAGCTCTTCTCTCAAACTGAAAAAGCTCTGTTCTAATTTGTGATGTCATGTGGTAATACAGGAAGTGCTCCACTGTGTTTTTAAACTCCACACACCTTCAGCAGAATCGTTTGGATCATTTCAGCCCTGGAATTGCCAATCTCTACTGAACAAAAGCCAAAAAAGTAGCTGTTAACTTCAAAACTACCACTTCATGACATCACAAAGTGGAGCAGAGCATTTTGAGTTTTGGAGACGTAGATTGACTAATTATAAAAGTATTACTCAAACATGTGTGAATGAAACAGAACAACTTCGGGTATGTTTTTGAGGCGATAACTGCATTATAACCTGGCTTAAATCTCAATTTAGCGTAATATTGGACCTTTAATAATATACTGTCAACATTTTTAATCAATTAGCGTATTTAGACAGATCATTGGAATTGCTTGTAACAGCCAACACCCAAAATCCTCTGTAAAGTAACACAATATTCGGAGCATGAAATCGCGTTGTCAGCAGCTATAGCAGGCATTAACTCATTGTAATTCTCTATAGATAAATATACATTAACCACATGTGAGAAACAAAACAGATAACATCAACATTCTGTCGTTTCTAGTGTAAAAAATGTGCTAAGGGACCACTAAATGAGTCGTTTTTCATCACACAGACCCTAAAGCCCCCCGCCCCGCCCTGATACAGCTGTTTAATACTGCAGAGACCCCCACACCCACCCGCTGCAGATGTAACACATATTTTAGCATGGACGCACTCAATCAAACACACATGTACTCCGAACAATGTCAACTGTGGTCCATTAAGCTGTTTTCCTGTTTTGTATCATATAGAGA